CTGCCTCTCTGGCTGTGACCGGCTCACTCGGGTCTCACCCACGCCGGCTTATTGGTTCCTGTTGAGTCCTGCAAGTGCGGGAGGTGGAGATCTCTAAGTCTCTCCTCCACGTTTGTGAAAAAGCTTGTGACCCAGCCTGGCCAGTGTGGCTCAGTGGTTGAGCATCGACCTGGGAACCAGGAGGTCACAGTTTGATCCCCAGTCAGGGGCGTGCAGGAGGTGGCTGATAAATGACTCTCTCTCATCATTGATGTTTCTATCTCTCTCGCCCTCTCTCTTCCTCTCTGAGATCAATAAAAATATATTTAAAAAAAAGAAAAGAAAAGGCTGTGAGCCACAGCAGGCCCTGCACCATTGTCAGCAGCAGCAGCAGCAGCACCATCACAGCAGGAGCTCATTGCATGCTTCAGGGAGAGGACCAGACATATTCCACCAGCTGACCAATCTGAGCTCCCTGGGAGCCCGTGGGTGTCATCCGGGGCCCTCCTGTTCCTTGTGACACGGAAAGATATTTCTAGTGACAAAGAGACTGTCCACTGTATATTTTATCTACAATGTCACTGTTAGAACCCTGCCCTCGCTTCCGAGCATGTCCCACTACAGAATCTTGCAGAAAGCGGGCGAGTGGAGAGAGAAGCAGCGTAGGGAGGTGGGAGTCAGCCCTGCTTCTCTCGCGTTGGGCGACTCTCCCGCGAGGAGGCCGGGAGGCCAGGGCGAGGCGCCAGAAGGCCCAGAGCTGACGGCTCCTCTCTCCCGGCAGCACATTCGCGTGGGGTGGGAGCTGCTGCTGACGACCATCGCCAGGACCATCAACGAGGTGGAGACGCAGATCCTGACGAGGGACGCCAAGGGCATCACCCAGGAGCAGATGAACGAGTTCAGAGCCTCCTTCAACCACTTCGACCGGGTACCTCCCCCTCGAGCTCTTTGCAGGGCAATACTGGGGACATTCAGACATGTTCAAGAGAATGCCCATGCCGTTCGCTTAAGTCTTCAGGCCCTAGAAGGTCACAGGGGCGGGGTGTGGTGAATGCCAAAGGCAGACAGCCACCGTGGTGACGGGTGCTAAGCTCTGACGTTGCCCAGGCCACGACGTCTAGGATTGTGTGCTGTTCGGTGCGGGTGACAGTGGACGCCTTTGTACGTGGCAGCAAAGCTAGATTTGTTATAAGCGAATGTGTGTCCTTAACAAAATGTGGTTCTAAAGACTTCAGACCTTTTCCTCAGGAACTATTTAGGTAAAAGCACCTGATAGAAATTTAACCTGTTCTTTTGCCATATAAAACTTAATTTTCTTTTTTAATGAACAAAATCGACTCTTAAAGATGTTTTAAGGAAAATGCACCAACAAAATGGTGAGCATTTTCATCGTAAAGGCGTCTAAAAAGTGAAGTGTATTTTGATTTCAATAGTATTGATTAAAACCAATTCTCTCTAAGAAAATCTGGCATTTAGCGACAGGATTTGCGGGCGGCGGGAAAAGGAAAGATTTAAAATGACCTGGAAGTTCTGAGCCTTAAGAGAGCCATTGAATTGGAGGTGCCCCGGGCAGTGAGGCATCCCATTCTGGACTTCGGGGCTGAACCTAATGGTCATCTCTGATAAGATAGGGCCTGGGCGGCCACCTGGTCTGTGGAGGCTGGGCCGCCCTGTGTCCTGCCCTGGCCTCCTCTCCACCGTGAGTGGCCGAGCGTGGAGCCTCACAGGGTTTGTGCTGAGGCCACGTTTGACACACGCAGGGCCACGCCTCAATTCCTCTTGGACCTTGAAAATAAAAACCATCCTGGCCCAGGCTGAGAGCGGTGGTGGGCTCTGCTCAGCCATCAGTTGGTGGCTGTAGTCAGCTTCTGACTGGGTCATTTTCAGGGGCACGGGGCGCTTCCTTCCATTGCTTTCTTCAGTGTGTGGTCTTCCTTTCTTGTCTGTTGTCCCCCCCCACCCCGCCCCCCGCTTTCCCCTGGTTAAGAAACCATTTTGTAACATCCCTGGGTTGGCTCTGGTCTTCCTATAAGTCAGTGGTGACCTTGACAGTCTCCTTGGCCAGCTCAGGTGTCCCCTCTCTTCCTGGATTTTGTTCCTCGGGTCAAGTAGAGTAGCTCCTTTGCCTCTAATTCCCAGCGTCTCTGTTTGTATCTGTCGGCAGAGGAAGAATGGCCTGATGGACCACGAGGATTTCAGAGCCTGCTTGATTTCCATGGGCTACGACCTGGTAAGCAGAAGTGGAGGTTTCCCCAAGGGGATGTTTTGCTGAACTTGGGTATATATTACAGGAGGTGACTGCCCCAAGGGATGGTGGCACATTGGGGATGAGTCCATTTGCATTGAATAGGATAATCTTTCTGAAGGTCGCCTGCTACCATATGAAAGCAATTTCACCGAACCAGAATCTATATTTGTATTCAGTCATTGTTCAGATATTAAGCTTTCCGGATGATTTGTAACAGCTTTATTGAGATATAACTCACTATACAATTGACCCGTTTAAAGTGTACGCTTCAGTGGCTTTTCGTATCCTGATGATTTTTAAGTGCTTTTCCCTCCAACATTTTAAAAAGTAAAAAGGTTTAGTAGCAAATCAGCTCAGAAAGCCTTGCATTTTCCTGTGGCCCCTCACTCCCCTGGGAGCCACTGATGTGGATTCTCAGCGTGAGCTGCCCCGACTCCTCTCTGACCTTGAAAAGAAAAGCCTGGAGAGCCACCTTCCAAACTGCATGCCGCTCCTCTCAGTTGTCATCTGGAAAAGAGCTGGCCCTTATGTTCACGCCTGCGGGAGTGTGGGTCCCAGGGTGGAGGGAATTCAGGAGCCTCAGGCGTAAAGCCACAGCCGCTGTTACAGTCACTGGGTGGAGTGACCTTTGTTCCAAAGCCTGCAGGGGATGCAGGAGACTTAAGTGTCCACTGCTGCCCAAAGGACCTGGCGGGCGGCAGGTGAGCGCACGGACTGGCTCTCTGCATAGCTGTGTGCTCTTGAAGCCAACGTGTCCTTGCCACCTCGCTGCAGGGTGAAGCCGAGTTTGCCCGCATCATGACCCTGGTGGATCCCAACGGACAGGGCACCGTCACCTTCCAGTCCTTCATCGACTTCATGACCAGAGAGACAGCCGACACCGACACCGCGGAGCAGGTCATCGCCTCCTTCCGCATCCTGGCGTCCGATAAGGTCTGCACGGACAGATTCCTTCTGTGTGCATTTTCCTCATAAGAACAGAAACGACATTTCAAGGGAAAATAGTACGGTAGTAGTGCATGTTGGACCACATCAGCATTGTTTTCAGAAAGCAGCAGGTAGCCCAGCTGGGGTGGCTCCGTGGTTGAGCGTCGACCCATGAACCAAGAGGTCACCAGTTCGATTCCCGGCCAGATCCCATGCCTAGATTGTGGGCTCTGCCCCCAGTAGGGGATGTGCAGGAGGCAGCCAATCAATGGTCCTCTCTCATCGATGTTTCTGTCTCTCTATCCCTCTCTCTTCCTCTCTCTCTCTCAAATCAATAAAAACATTAAAAAAAAAAAAAAGCAGCAGGTAAACAGTGGTGGTTCACCCAGAACAGAAAAATCAGACATTCTGCTCCTGGAATTTGTGCTTGGGCCTCAGTGAGTTTCATGCAAGGAACCAGGAGTGTGTACTTTGTAGGGGTTTTTTTTGTGTGTGTTTTACTGGTTAAGCCAATAACCTTGAGGTCACAGTATTTATCTCTCCCCCTGTGGCTCAGTTTGAGAAATACTGGTGACAATGCTCCCGGTGGGAGACCCACTGCCCTGCAGGAGTGGTCTTAGGTGTAAGCTCGGTCTGCAGGCACCAGGCCCATTAGACGGCCTGCCTTTAATCTTTTTTATTTATTATTATTTTTTAAATATATATTTGTATTGATTTCAGAGAGGAAGGGAGAGGGAGAGAGAGAGAAACATCAATGATGACAGAGAATCATTGATCGGCTGCCTCCTGCACGCCCCCTACTGGGGATCAAGACCGCAACCCCGGCATGTGCCCTTGACCGGAATTGAACCTGGGACCCTTCAGTCCACAGGCCGATGCTCTCGACACTGAGCCAAACCAGCGAGGGCTGTACCCTTTTTTAAATTGAACCAACCGTGTATCATCATGAGCACACCTGTTGCAGGGTTTCCCCGACTGACTTGCAAACCCCTCTGTCTCTTGCAGCCATACATCCTGGCAGAGGAGCTGCGGCGCGAGCTGCCCCCGGACCAGGCACAGTACTGCCTGGGGCGCATGCCAGCCTACAAGGGCCCGGGCGCGGTGCCTGGCGCCCTGGACTACGCGGCCTTCTCCTCCGCGCTCTACGGGGAGAGCGACCTGTGAGCCCGACGCTGGCCTGCCCACAGCAGCGAAAGACTTTGACGAGCGTGGTTAAGGGAAGGGACAGGGAGAGATTTTGCGGCTCAGTAATGGTTTATGACATAGTGTGCTTCATCAATAGGTTTCTTTATTTCGGAATTGTTAGCTAAATGCAATGGAATATCAGGGTTTTTTGGTTTGTTTCTTTGCTCAAACAAGGCAAAATCCTTGAGTAGTATGAAATGAGGAGGATCTAGGGACAGAAGAAAAGTACAAAATGGGAAATTCCCAAATACCCAAGATTTGAGATCAGGAAGAAAAAAATTGGGTAAATGTTTGATATCTTTAAAAATATTCTTAAGTAGGCTTATGTGATTATCGTGAGGGTAATATATTTGGGATATTCGTGTTTTACCTTCTCATCCAAAGATTAGCGATATTTAAGTACTATTGTTTCTTTAGTTGAATTTAATGTTGTGAAACGGAACTTCCAGGGAATGGAACCAGACGACCCAAAATATCTTTAGTACTTAAAAATTTTTAAATAGAATTTATAGTCAGCTCTTTGTTCTTTAGGACTACGCAGTCCAGTTAGTGGATTTCAATGCCTTATTTATCGTCCAAAGTAGAGACCTCAGGAATCACAGAAGCCGGTCTGCTTGCCAGAGAGGAAGCTGTAGTCACTAGGAAAAACGAATGTGTTAGGATCACGTATTGAATCCAGGTTTCTGTGCATTTCCTAGAGCTTGTTAGCACGGATTTGGAAGAGATGACTGTAGGTAAGTGCCCTGTTTTTTAAATAAACAGGTTTCTGTAGCAATAGTTTACAACAGGACATGGGTCAGAGACCGGAACCCAGATCGCTCGCCAGGCCACACTTCGTTAAGCCCTTGACTTTCTGACCTGGTCAGGAGGAGTTAGTAGGGAAGGACTCATTCTTAGCAGCAGTAGAGATAGAGCTTGCATTGCAGACCTTTACATATTTTGGGGGGATGCTTTTTGTGTAGTAGGAACGACTCGACGTTTTTTGCCAGCACTCAGCGTGCGGTCACCACTGTGATTGGTGCCGAGCCCGGGTCTGGCTCTCTCCACACCTGAGGCCCTGCCACGGAGGACACGCCATGCTCCCAGCATCCTCTGCTCTCTTGAATGTTCATCTGTTCGAATGTTTGGGCTGCCTTATGCTATAACTCCCCCTCTGTTTTTCCGTCCTGTTGACAGCTTGTAGAGAAGGCAGGAATTCTGTTTACATCTGAGTCCTTAATGATCAGGAAAGGGATTATAAACAAACAAAAAACTGTTGCCAACAGCAATTCAAGTGTTACTAGAAAAGCAGTCCTGTTTCTGTTGCCCACGGTCTGCTTTCTCAGATTTTTGGTGGATTGCCACCAACAGCTGGAAATGTGATATTTTCCATTCATACCTGTTCGGTAACTTCCTACTCTTACTGCATTGGCCCATGTAGAACCCTTACCTTTAAAAATTTCATTTGCTTCATTTTATTAAGTAGTTGGTAGGTAGCAAGTTCCTGAAATACCCGAGTCCCTGTGTGTCATGCCAAACACTTTGGGTGATAAGTAGAGGAACTCTGACTCTTTATTTCCAGCAGGTGCTATATTCCAGCCATAAACATTAAGGAAACACTGGGAAGTCGTTCTGACTCTGAGGCTATGAGGGGGACTTGGGGTGTTTTAGAATGCGTACAGGTAGCTCAGCTGCCTAAAATGTTCATTGCTTTACAATATTCAGGCAAGAGGATAGATGTACTATCTGCTAATAAATGAAGAAAGGAGATAAACTCTGAAAAACACTTAATAAACATGTTTATACTCTCATCTTAGAAGATATTTTTATTTCTGAAGCTGAATTATCCATTAAACTTAATTTATAAAAGAAAAAGAATCCATGCTTATCTTTTTTTCAAAGAATAGCCCGTTTCTTTGGTTAACCACAAACTTCCTCACTTAAAATTGCCATCATATTTAAAAACTTTCCTTTGGGTAACTATTTGCCAGCCATAAAGAATTAGAAACTGGCCCTCACCGGTTTGGCTCAGTGGATAGAGCATCGGCCTGTAGACTGAAGGGTCCTGGGTTCGATTCCAGTCAAGGGCACATGCCGAGTTGCAGGCTTGATCCCCAGTAGGGGGCATGCAGGAGGCAGCCAATCAATGAGTCTCTCTCATCATTGATGTTTCTATCACTCTCCCTCTTGCTTCCTCTCTGAAATCAATTAAAAAAAAAAAGAATTAGAAACTGGCTGGTTTGGGAGGGGGGGCGGTAAGGGGTAAATTTGGGATGAGGAATTAAGGTTGATCCAATTGGCCCTGGCCAGTTTGGCTCAGTGGATAGAGGGTCGGCCTGCAGACTGAAGGGTTACAGGTTTGATTCCATTCCGGTCAAGGGCATGTACCTCAGTTTCAGGTTCAATCCCTGGCCCTGGTGGAGGCACATGCAGGAGGCAGCCAATCAATGTGTTTCTCTCACAACGATGTTTCTCTGTCTCTCCCCCTCCCTTCCACTCTCTAAAAATCAATGGGGAAAGTATCCTCAGGTGAGGATTAACAACAAAAAACCCAGGAGTTGTCTGAAGGTCTTATCTCTACACATAGGTTTATGTGGGATGAGCTGAGGGTGAGGGTGAGGGTGAAGGTGAGGGTGGGGAGTGGGCTAGCCGATTATCACCAAAATAATAATCACCTACAGAGAGGAGAGGCTTTTTTGCAGTGTTCCCATCCACTACAGATGCATTTGTATTATTTCCTAGGGCTACGATAACCGAGTAGCACAAAATGGGTGGCCTCAAACAACAATGTATTGTCACAGGTTTGGAAACTAGAAGTCCAAAACCAAGGTGTCAACAGGGCCTTTCTCCCTCTGACATCTACAGGGGAGAATCCTTCCCGGCTCTTCTAGCTTCTGATGTTTGCAGGCAATCCCCGGTTCCTTGGTGTGTAGGTGCATCACCCCAATCTCTCGATTATTAGTCCTAACTAGGTCGTGAGTTGCTCTAAGACAGGTGGGGGTCGGGATGGGAGGCAGTTTGTCTTTGCATTCCCATGTCCGACACACAGCAGGACTCAGTAAATGCTTTCTGTCTATAAGTGGCCATACACGCATCTCGCCCAGCACCAGGCTATAGCGGAGGCGCATAGCGCCTGGCCTTCCACTCAAGCTCCAGCTCTGAGCTGCACACAGTAGGGGGCCAGCATTGCGGAACCAGCAGTGAGGGGTCAGGAGCGCGGAGCCAGTGTCCGCTCCCCACACAGCCCACGCTCCAAGCCGCCACGCGGCTGAACTTCCGGGTCCGAGTGCGGAGGTGCGTGAAGCTTCGCGAGGACCGGACTACATTTCCCAGAGAACCCTGGGGCGAGCCTCAGGCAATTGGTTGAGACCGACAGCCAATGCGGCGGCGAAGAGCTCGCACAGACCAATCACAGCCCCGGGGCGGGAGCTTCGCGTGGATGCTCAGCTGCGACAGAAACACCCTGAGGGGCCGGTTCCGGGACGCACGTCGTTCTCCCCCTCGCCACGTCCGCGGCTCCCCGGC